GTACAGCACACATCTTTTAGAAAAGTCCGGCCAAAACGTCACAACCATTTCGGAGATTACCTAGAACAAGCTCGGCTTGCGGTCAGACAAAAAATGTTTAATTTGTTTTTTTTTGCTATAGGTAAAGCAAAAACAACACCTTACACGAAATATGATTTTTTTTCGACGTCACATACAATTTCATTATCTGTTTCGATTAATTATAGAATATCTTGCAGAGTTTTGAATTATAAATGTTTAGAGGGCGCTGTTGACAGATTATTTATTCAGAGGATTACAAATCGATATCGATTAGAAAATTAATATTTTTAAATTCAAAAAATTATCGGAATTGACCTTGTTTACTTCCTATTATTGTATTTTAAAGGGTTTGAGATTATTATGTGTAAGTATTTACTTAAAACAATTATAGGGGGTGATTAAGCAAAAGCGAGATGTGTAGAGTCGAGTTGTTTTTCAAAGAGTTTGCATATGTGAAGTGATAATAAATGTTGGCTAATTGTGTGACCAACATTGTGTGTAACCCCAATATCTTAAAAACTAACTTTGCTTGGGGTTACGTTCAGCAGCTGTTATATCCGAAGGCCATACGGAAAGACTCTATTTTTCGACGACGTCCTTAGTTTTAAAAGAAAACTCGTCTACTTCATATTATAGTCTTACCCTTTGAAATATTTGTTCAACACTGACTGAAAAGATCTTAATTTATTAATAAAAACTAAAAAGATGATAACGTTGAAACAAACTCCGTTTATCGTTTTTGGTAGCCAAGTTTTAAGTACACCCTTTATAATTATTGAACTTCAATATAAAATATACTTCAATTATTACGCAAAAGTTATTTTATTATTATAAATTTTAACAGTAAAGTGTATTCTATTTTGATTTAATATTTTAAATCACTATTTTTAATTATAATGTTTCGTGAATAACAATAGAAATTTGTAGTTTTAAATTGAAAATTTTAACTGTAGAATTCATCGAATTTGAAACGCTTCAAATCTAATATACGTAGTTGCATACAAAGCTCTGCAAATAGCCTCTGTGAATCGGAACTCAAGGGAGGTAAATAAAAGAGAAATGTTTCAATACTAGTTTAAGTAACATTGAGGCAAAAGGAATAGATATAACCTATTTATTGGATAACACATCATCTAATTTTACCTTATGATTCTTTTATTGAAATCTCAAACACAATATTAATCCATTTGACGTTTTTTAACTGATATATAAAGGTGCGTTTCCACCAATTTCAATGCTTGCATTTTTCCGATATTCCTACGGAACCGAGTGTCGGACATAGACGGAGACAAAGACTGAGCTACGACTCGTTGTGACACGTCAATAAAATTACGCATTGTGAAACGCGGCATTAGTCACAATTAAAAAAACAGTGATGAACCAGAGATTAAAATATTGTACGTGATCATTAAGAGATTAAATTTAGTTACTACGATAAGATTGTTCAGATGATATCGGATAACACAATACAATAACGTTGTGGATGGAAGCATGAATGAGCCGAGCTAACCCTTTGACATACGATATATCAGGGCACAATCTCGTCGGGAGTAATTAATAGACCGACTGTAACATACGATTAAGATCTATGCATCACAATATTAAACCTCACACTTCTTAATTTGTTGTTATTGGTTTATTGTTCATTTTTTATTTTACATTTTTATCCATACAACCCCAAAACACTTAGCACAATATGTTCTATGTCTACTATATAGATTGTTAATCTCACTTCTTGTTAATAGTATAATTGCGAATGTTTGCATGGATGGATGTTTGTTTGAAGTTATCTCCAGATCGGTTCAACAGATATCAATGAAATTTGGCATAGATGTGAAACATAGTTTGGAAGAACAAATTGGCTAATAATTAAGTTAATTTAATTCCACGCGGATGGAGTTGAGTTCGACATTTAGTATGGAAATATTTGACTTACAAGCAAGACATTCAACTAAATGTGATAAATGTTTTAAATACTTTTATTTTGCTAAGAATCAAACCTATTTCCCTAATCATACTACTCTATCTTATGCCACGAGGTCGCAGGGATTTCATTTTATCAAGAAACGCATTACACAACTAGATTAATCGATAATAAAATCTTATCTGATTTAAAAAAAAAAAACAAACCACAAAATCCCTTATCATAAACAAGGAATTGTCCATCAAATATACTTCCGGTTAATAAATATTTACTGAAACCAGTTGAAACTGACAAAACTTTTGACGATTAAATCCTTCATGGCTGTCTAGCGTAGATAACGAAACACGGGTACAAAAAAATGACATCGCCTAAGACAAAATATTATAATAATCTCACAACAAACATTTCTAAAAATACGTCGTGACGGATACCAAACAACTTTGAATATAAATTAGTGATGGCAGTAGTGTAGTAATGTAACGCCAGAGCACACTCACCGTTAAAACTATGCTATGCTATGACAAATTTTCGACTTAATTGGTCCGGATGAATTGGGTAATAAATAAATGTCGACTGTACTGTACTGTACTGTACATGTATGCACACCGCAGGGCTAGTACGCTATTGATTCAGTTATTCAATTTATCGTAGTTCACAAGATTGAAAACAGTTATACGAATTGAAAAATATGAATCGAAAGCTAGCATACAATAGAATATTTTATATCGATATATTTTGCGATACATTCTTGATAAATGTCAACATTATTTTATTGTTTGCTATGCAATTAATTAGTTTGTAAATGTACAACATATACCATTCCTCTTCACTTGAATAATCATTACTGACAACATCGATATAATATTTGTACATAATTATTGGCAGTGGCAACCCACGGTAAAATATAAATACTTAATTTGTTGTTCCGTTATTCTGTATATCTTTAGGATTGTGATGAGTTTATCGAATAAGACTGAGTATAATTTAAGAAAGTACTGGCCTAACTATTTTTTACTTATCGTTTTAAAACCAAATAAAAAACATAAAGAAGCAAGTCGTTAAAACCAACATCTTTTAAGGATTAAGAGTTTAATAAAAAGAGTCGATTCAAGATACAAGTCCATTGATAGCTTACTTTGACGCTGGTAGACCGTGTTTTTTATTTATCTTGCAACATAAAGGTTAATAAGATGCTAGTACTAAATGATTGTTTATTACTATCATTATAAATTGCTTTATACGATCGTCCAATTGATTGGTGTCAACAACATGTGATACTTAAAGAATTGCAACACAATCAACTGTATTGATTATTTTTGACTAGAGCAATTTGGAGATATACACGAATAGATCGGTTGCTACGTCAATATATTCAATTTTGTACAGTAAGTTTGTAAGTTTGTACAGTAGTAAATTCTATACAGCCGTCCTGGAGAAACCTACTAGTAAACATTCATATAAATATTCGCATTTATAATACTAGTAAGATGTGATTTACAACGATCTCACAGAACGTAGTGGTACTCGTAAATTTTATTCTTGTACAAAAACTCAAGAACCCAAATTGCCATATGATTGTAACTGTGGATTATCCTTAGTATCGCCCTTTACATTTCCTTAGAAAAAATTATGTGACACTGCAATCAAAACCCGAGACGCAAATTATAGCTCCAACATTTCCATTCCTCTTTTAAAATTATTATCCTACTTAGAACCTTACACCAGAAAATGTTAATGATAAAAATATGTTCAATGCTATTGTTAAAATAAGTTCTCAGAAAAATAAATTCTATATCAAGAGCAAACTAAGAAATTCATTAGAGGCACTTATGTGCCCACGTAACATAAAGTGCTTTGAAGATATTGAAGAAAAATAACACAACATCAACCCACGCGTAAACACTTCAGTTAGAAAAAGAAAGCTTAAAATGTAAAAATAACCAATCAGAAAATAATAGTATTTATTTATATCGCCAATCTATGATTATGTAAAAATTCATCATCGTGCGCTTCACAACCCCACATCATGTTCATCATGTTAATCAGTGTACGGGTAAAAATAACCAAATAAAAAAGTCAATTTTGTGTGAGTGGCTGATTAACACGTACGCGTCAGTCATGTTATATTGTAGTAAGTTAAATGCAAAGATTTAGAATACCCAATTTATATTGTTTTAAATCTCCCATAAAATGTGGCATCAAATCAGAAAGTGCATGCAATGCGTCATATTGTGACGTCATAGCTATAGAATAGATTTTTTTTTCATTTTAGATAGGCCAGTACCCGTGGTTTTCTGGGACCAAAATCCCACTTTAAAATATGTTATTTTATTAAGTAATAAGTAATATTTATTTTTAACCTTCACGGGGATATAGAGATTATTTATAAAAATTATTTCTTCCGTAGGTCCACACTTTAAGGGATTGACAAATAGCGATTTATCCGATGGAGGTCATTGCCTCCATTATTCTTATTTGAAACGCAAAGTAACTGTAACATTGATGTAACTATCTTTTGTTTCCAAAATAGCATTCCATCGATCAATTAGAAAAGTTTTTATTAAACCAGTGCGCTCAACATGTCCGAGAGACGTAGATGCATCATAGTATATGAATCATTAGTCAGAAAAACTATAAAGTAAAAAAATACGCAGATTTAAAATTTAAACGCATACACTACAAACTAAATAAACTGAAATTCTACGTATTTACAAATTATCATTGAATAATTGTGATATTTACCTATAAAGAGTTATTGTGGAATTATTGGAACATTATTCTACTGAAAAGCATATTGTTTCAAAAATTAAATCCCTACAGAGTGTTAAAATCATTCACCATGTTTTCAAATGGAAATACTGTTAAAACACTATTGGAAATGAATTATAAATACGAAATCGAACGCTCAAAATCACGTAACTATGAGAATTAAATAACAAAAAGAATTACTTTGTTCAACAATGTCTACCTGGAACAGTCCACGAAATAAATTAACTATACTACGAAGCTAAATAACGTTTTTCTAAATTACCACTTTTTATATGAACTGACATACCTGGGGTGAGAAGCCCAAAAACGATAGTTTTCTTTTGCCGCTACTCATTTCGTGTTCGCGTTCGTCTCAACGTGCGATATAAAAACACGTCGCACACACAAGCATTCGCGTCGATTGCGGCCGCCAGACTGAACGACTGAACGTTACGCACAGGCTCCACCGCGCGCCCGACGCACGCGCATCCCGCGCCTAAGCCCTTAACCACTCACCTGCAGAATAAACAAAAGTTTACGACCTGCCATCATTTTATATTTTTTTTATTAAATAATTTATGAAAATACATTTAGAAAATTACCAAATTTTATTTCATCCGTTAGAAATGTTTTTAAATGATTTTTAAATAGAAAAGTTAATTATTTAACAGTGAAACTAAAATTCAATCCAATGCATTTTGAATTTCCAAAAACAAAACATGTTTATTTCAATATTTTTTCGATATAGGCATCAACGTGATATGAAAAATGTTAAAAAAAAATTAATTCGTGTCCTTTGCAAAGCTAAATCTATCGGTAAAACAATATTTGGATGCCTACACTAGGACTTTAGTGAGTTAACTTATCGCCGTTTTCTTCGGAATTTCGATATTCAAATAATAGAACAAAAAAAACTGTCAACATCACTGACTGGAAAAATCCAGTTCTGCGCCGCGACTCTGTCCGCTTGGAATTAAAAAAAATCTTAATTAGTAGCTTATGTGTTCTTCCAGATTATGTTCTAACTAAAGGTCTAAAGTGTTGCTGCAAATTGGTATGTAAATATATTTTTCCTTTAACCAAAAATATTGAAAATTAATGCAAACATTTTAAATAACAATAAATATGAAATTCCCCCTCAGTTTCGCGATACTTTTTACATTTTATACCTACCCAATTGGCAGGTTAAAATAACAAAACGAATTCTCCCCGCACAGTACAACCTAACCGAAATGAAATGTATTTAAATCAAAATTCATCTTAGTTTTATTAAATTAAAATTGAAACGTGTCGGTATGTCCGATGCAAGCATTTGTCAGCTTCATTCTACTGTAAGTTGGATAAATATACGTGGAGTTTAAATAAAACATTTAACAACTTTAGTCCTGTAACATACAATCGCTAAAGCGAATTTACGATGCTAGCTGTTGTCCGGAAATGAAAGGTGGGTTTCCGTGCTATACGTATCAATCCACACAATGCACCATGGAAACTCTCCTTTATGTGTATTACGATTTCGCCAGCAGGCATTTTAATACGTCCGACTGAACGTCAAACTGCGTTTACCACGGCCAAAAACACGCTCGTAGGTAACCAAATGTTTGTTATTCTGTCACAAAGGCAGGCTTTATTTAAAACCAGTATTCCTGTTTTTATTAAACAACTAGCTATCGCCCACGATCCGTCCGCGTGGACGCTTAACAAAAAAAACTTAATTGCTACCTCCTCCTACCTCCTATTCCAAGCTATCGTTTATCTCTTTCCAAATACTAATCAGATTCAGACCTTCTAGAGTTGAGTGTTAACAAACATTCATACATACATCCAAACGTTCGCATTTATAATAAATAATCTATTATTTGTTTAATAAATCTATTTTTGTTTTATTTATTTCGTAACGTTTTCAAATATAACCATAGTATGGTCAATAATTACTAATATATCTGTCCGCACGGAAAAAAAAAATTAGTAGCCTATGAGTTCTTTCAGACTATGTTCTAGATCTATGCCAAATTTCAGCGTGATCCGTTCGGACATTCTGGAGATACCTTAAAACAAACATCCATCTGTCTATCTAAACACTCGCATTTATAATATTAGTAAGATAAAAAGAAGAAAATTGTACAGAAAGTGCTCGAGAAGAGAACTGTTAAAGAAGAGTTGAAACTAGTACTCTGTAGGCGGCTTTACCCTTATTAAATTTTCGATTTGATTGACATATGTATAACAAATGGTGACATCTCGTAATAATCGATTGATATCTACTTGAATTGTGATAAATGAATAGATTGAATACTAATAATAGAAAACAATTTGTCCATGCGAAAGCAGGGCTCGTCCCTCTCATTATTGCTACCATCGCCCGCATACTTCAAATAGGTAACAATTGTTTCATAACTTAACGCCTAAGTTATGGAACTTCAAAGCACTTTCATAACTTATAATGAATCATGAACGATAAACAGGGAAAATGGTTTTGTTTCCAATACAATAAGTGTTGTCGATTTAAAATCTTACATTTTCAAGAAAGTTGACATTGTTCAAATACAAACTTATAGTTCTTTAACTGCCAAACTGGTTTTTCATAATAAATCGACACTATCTCCTCTCTGGATGCGGGAGGCTCAGGACCGGGCATTGTGGCAATCGATGGGGGAGGCCTACGTCTAGCAGTGGACAAATTTAGGCTGATTATGATGATGACGATGATGTCGTCAATTAAGGCCACCTATGAGTGCGACAGTAAAGCTCCTTGGTTAAAGAATATACAGGATACAGAAATTAAAACAAAAGAGAAATCTTATAGTATAACTAGCGGTCGACCGCGACTCCGTCCGCGCGGAATTTAAACAAAACATAATTAGTAGCCTCTGTGTTCTTGCAGACTATGCTCTATATGTATGCCAAATTTAACCTAGATCCGTTCAGCGGTTTTGGAGATACCAACAAACAAACATCCATCAATGCATCCAAACATTCGCATTTATCTTATATCTTTAAATGAGCAATTCTTGTGTATATATATATATATTTGGTTTCGGGGACAATAAATCGATCTAGCTAGGAATCATTTTTAGAAAATGTCATTTTATTCGTGTTTTATCGATAAGCAACTTAAACATAAACTTAATTTTTGTATCGGTAAGATCGAAAAACATTATTCGTATTTCATCATTTTATTAGTAATTCGTACTTAAATATAATTTCCAAAAAACACAATTAAAAAAAAATACCATCGGTCATCCAGGTACTAATATTAGTAAGACAACTATAAGATAGAGCCGAGCACATCGATATATTTACTAGATGCACATTTTCATTAAAAATTAAACGTAAAACGCTGCACCAACGTCACGTAGTACGAACACTGAAAGGGGGACACAAGGAGCTAGACAATGTAACATTAGATTATCCCTATCGCTAGTTGAATCGACAAAATGTGTCAAAATGGTACAAGAAAAATACGTAACATATCGAAATTACAACTTCGACAATTTTTTTTACTTTTCGATTTGCAACATCACTTATCGAATGTTACTATCCCTTAATGACTGGTGTCCACCTATATTGCCATTTTAAAAAGTCCTAATTGTATAAAAGAATATTAAAAAACTTATGAAATAAGTTTTGAACTACAAATATTTTGTCTTTATTAACTGAATGTTACAACTACAGAAACATGACGTTTGATTTAATGCGTAATCAAGTCAAGCAAAGACAATAAGGGATGAAAACTTTACAACGGACACGTAAATTAAGGCGTTTTGAAGATGCATCCCGTCTCTTGTCAAAGAAAGCATAATTTTTGTATCGCTTATAGACAGCGTACAAAAAACAAGGCAATCTGTCGATTCCTGCCTTATTTTGATGACTTCACCTTTCGAGTGCCGAAAGTTAATCTCATCACCATCATCATCATCATCATCAGCTCGCTATATGTCCCCACCGAGGAGCTCGGAGCCCACCCTAAGTTAACGGTGACTAGGCTATAGTCAACCACGATGGCCAAGTGCGGGTTGGTTGACTTCACGCATATCATTGAATTTCTTCTTAGATATGTGCAGGTTGCATCATGATGTTTTCCTTCACCGTAAGAACGTCGGATAAATGTACATATGTAAATCGGAAATCGAAAAACACATTAGTACATGGCGGGATTCGAACCCAGGACCTGCAGGATTGCAAGTCAAGTGCTTGACCCGTGAGCCACCGACGCCGATATGTTATTAAAGCGAATCTAACAAAATTTATATTAATGGCTGAGAAGGGAAAACGTTAAATAAAAAGATCCGAGTTGAGCGTATACACGATTCTTTTGCACATACATACATATTTAATATATAAGATAATAATAGTGTCCATGTCGCCGGAACGATTAAGCCGCAGTCATGGACTTTAAGCTCTGGGAAGGAGTACATATGCATGAAAAATTACACATTGTGTATTATTTTGTTACGTCTTATATATATATATATATATATATATATATATTTGCTTTGTTGTGCTTTGATCCTTATTATTATTATTTTATTCTTTGGATGAGATGTTAAATGGCTTACTTTTATGATAAATTACATACGCTAAATGCAAATCTGTTACTCTGGAATCTGTTACGTGTGTATGCAAAAACTCTATTTCTTATTCCAAAACGACAATTTTGTACTGTATTATATAGTTAAAAATAATATTCAAGTATGTAGCTTTTGCGATATTAACGCTTTTATAAATATCGTTACGAATTAATATAAATAAATATTTAACAAATAGTTTAATGTGAAAAAAGTAATGATTATCAAATTGAATTTATTTAATTGTAAAAAAAGAACTCCACGAGGTAAAACAGAAGCTTTTATAAATCAATAATTCAATGAAAAGTCGCTATTGAAATTATCTGATTACACTTTCCTGTCTTTCATTTGTTGAAAAAGACGCAAAGTTATTTAAGTCACTTTTTTACTTAAGTTTGTATAATGACTTTAAGTGTTGAAACTTATTTCATTATAACTGCTACAAATTATAAAATGTTGTATTTTGTATTTTAAATGATAGTAACAAAGTTTGTAAAAGAATATCGACATGAATTTTGATTTTACATTACTTACGATAACGCTTTTCATAGATAAAAATAATTACTTTTGGAATTACATTCAAAATATACGGAGATTACTTACAGTATAGTTGGATTGTTCTTGAAATTCGGATATTTATAACACACTAAAATTAAAATAAAATAATAAACACACGACTGAAATAATTATAATAAACTAATAGAAATTTTATTAACAAAAAACAAAAAATATTTTTCACATTTATTAAAAAAAAACACCAACTGTAGCAACAATAAAATATTTTTTTGTGAATTCAATTCTACCTTAAAGTCGAGACGAAGTATTCAACAGGCGAACTGAACGCGAATGACGCCCGTAGAGACGGCGCGGCACGGCCGCATCCAGGACCAATTAGAGCGAACTGAAGGACTAACTTGGTACTGCTAGACACATTTCTTTCCGATCGGCGCGCATCGGAAGCGGATGGCGCGCGACTAACACACCGCGTACATAGAGACACACTGGTATTGTGAACGAATCGTACAATAACATCAGAGTGCCGTATGTCACTCAACAATGCAGAATTAATAAGTATATTGTTGAATGTAAAACCTCGTGTGTGCGCAGGTGTCGACTATGAAATAGCGGGCGGCGCAGGTTTCAAACGCAAACCAATCATGTTACACTGAAACCATTCAATCAAAGTACGAAAGTTGAATACTTGATGGTGTAAACAGTAAATCTCTATCTTGTTATATATTTGAGCTACATTAGACAAAACATTGGATCTATTTAAATAAACTTTATCATAATCCAAACACGCCTACCAAGGATTGAAAACTGTAATATCAACTTCCTGCAATGCAAAATGTTGTTTGCATTTTTTTCTTCAGTTGCAATTTAAAGGATCAGCGGGTACTCTAGCATAGTGTACTTTATTTAATGAAAGATTTGACAGACAAGTTAGTGAATATACGTAATTAGTTAGCGGTATTCATTACGACACCACAAACTTTCTCCAACATTTATACCTGTACTATCGCCCGCGACTTCGTCCACGCCGAAAAAAGAAACGTTTGCATTTATAACATATATAATAATAGGAAGTCACAGTTGAAAAAGGCAAACCAAAAAATAGCGAAGCTTTAAAGTTATTATCGTATTGAGGTTATCGATCATTACACACCATTTCATCGAGCATCGTCCGGGTGGTGTGTGACCCTAGCATAGACTACATGCTTTGATGCGGCAAGATGCTGCCGGATGAATGGATGTAGATGTTAAACTAGCTGTTTGCCCTTAGGTCGAGATCGTTAGAAAATATATAAATTGTTTTATATTTACCATTGTACAAAGAGATTTTTCCAGTGAAAACACATATTTATGACAAATTTTATCTTCATATTAACTATGTAAAACTATACAAGTTCATAATAACCAATGACACTGATAAAGTCAAAGCGAGTTAAAGTGTTCAAAACACGAGCCGCCTCCAATTTTATACATATTTTATATCGTAGATAATATTATCAGAATAAGAACACTTAACATTAATAATTCACATAAAAAATATTTTGATACAATATACAACAAAATACTTGATGCATTGCTATTTGTCACAAAATAAAGGATAGATATTGACATTAGTAAAGTCATTCAAACTCATCCTTATCATGAAGTTTGTAAGGTTCTCTGTACATTATGGTTACAATAGGTACTTTAAAAATAACCTGAAATCCATCTTAAACCATTAAAATATATAATAATGGGTAACATTTTTTAATATTATAACGTATCGAAATTTAATGGAAAATTGGTTAATTTATTTTTGAGATATAGGCCTCCCGCAAGATGGACCGATGACCTGGTCAAGGTTGCGGGAGCGTCCTGGATGCGGGTGGCACAAGATCGGTCATCGTGGCGATCTTTGGGGGAGGCCTATGCCCAGCAGTGGGCGTCTCATGGCTGAGTGGATAGGCACAAATAGAAATTATGTTTAGGATTCTGAAATTCACAAATGGTGAATTTTATGAATTTTTAACATAATTATATTGTGATTTCATTAAATAACATACTAAATATAAATAAAAACATACTGCTGTCAGCTGTCAAATAAATGAAAAATTCAAAGCTACTCGCAATACTTGGAAAAGCTATATCCTAACCTAGAAAGTATTTACATTTTAGGTTTACATTAAATTAGCCGTGCTCGCTACTTTGTCCGCGTGGGGTCTTTTGATGTGATTTTTGCTTATTTATTTATTTAATCAAATTATTTTACAAATAAGACACATACGTATTAATAAGCTTCCTCGTATTTATTTATATTGAATTGACAGCTTATACAACGAAGAAGAATAATCTATAATAGAAAAGAGTGACTAGTAGAGGCCTTTTGGAAACGAAACGCAATTTTGGAACTGGTATCAAATTAAAAATTAATTAAAGATTAATTAAAGTAGTACTTTTAGGTTTTTAAAATAAAGGCCACTATTATTATTATTTCGTATTCATTTATCTATCTTATTCTTAATTTATTACATTTCATATACAAAACATAATATATTGAAAATAGAGCACCACCGGCTGCGGAATCCCATGATTCAAACACCCAGTGGTCAGGGCCGCAGAGACAGGAACCTTCTCACGATACGCGCGGTTTCTAGGATAACTGCCTTTTGTATCGGGCCCTATGTATATTATTATTATTACTATTATGTTACAGAGTAAAAAATAACTTTCAAGCTTCTAGCGATTCTTTATTCTTTATCAAATAATACGTATAACAAGTGTGTAATTAATTGTATAGAACCAATAGCGTTGGATTCCCTCCTTCCAGACAGGGCGCTGATCACACGAGGACGGTAGTGTGTTGATGAACATGAGAGAATCGCATACTTAGAATCATTCCAACAATAGACTTACACAGGATAATGGTCAAACAATTCAAATATTATAATGTTACTAATGTTATAAAATATTTGGATGGATGGATGTTTGTTTCAAGGTATCACCAGAACGGCTTCATGAAATTCGGCATAGATGTATAACAGAGCCTGGAAGAACACGTAGACTACTAATTAAGTTTTTTTTATACCGCGCGGACGGAGTCACGGGCGACAGCTAGTTTGTGTTATAAAATTGTATGTATATTTTTAATAAATGTTCCTTGTTAAAAAATTGTAGACGACTGTAATCAGTACCGAAGGAGTGGCGGGGGCGTAACGTCTGCTTGTAGGGTTTTGTCTCGATTCCTTTCGAATATCTTTCATGTATAAAAGTTTATCTTCCCAGAAACTCTTCTTACTTCGTGATGAAGACCTGTATATTTTAATAAAGGAGCGAGCACTAGACTCGCAGTGCGGTTAATATGTTACTCATTAAAGGGAATTATGTATTTCCAGAAAAGCTTCTGCTTGATAACTATTTCATTTATAATAGCATAGGGTCGTTATATATTATTATGTATATTTCATTGTAACCACCTAAGTATTAAAAACACTAAGCATGACTGTGATAACTTAGTCTTACTAATATTATAAAATAGATGTATGAACGAATGGATTGATGGACGTTTGTTAGACGGTATCTCCAAAACGGCCGCATGGGTCTCGCTGAAATTTGGCATAAATGTAGAAAATAAAACTACTTTTTTTTTAAATTCCGCTCGGACGGACAGCCGACAGCTAGGTTTTTATAATTATTTACGACGGTGTATTTATTTTAAACTATCGTTGTTTTGCAACGCAAATATTAGTTCCGAATATGGTCTCAATATTAGCTGGAACGGTAAAGAAACTAAAATAAAAGAAACAGATTTAATACATGTTTATTTTTGAAAAAGTTAAAAATTCATTATAAAAAAACTTATTGTAGAATTGGTATTTAAAAATTCATAAGCGTTGGATCTTCTTGCCAATAACTACCGATTTCGTTAAAAGGTGATTGAAGTTCTGCGATCTTGTTTTCTGCATTAGTAGTACTCTGGAATCAAATAACATGAAATATATGCTTAGCATTAACAAACTTAATTCAATAGTACAAATATCATATTTAGACGCCATATTTTTCTTTAGTTTTGGTGTAGATATTTTTTAAAAAATCAGCTATCTAATAAATTGACTTTTTCAAACGTAAAAGCAAAATAACACATTTAAAAAAGTTTCCCGTCGTGTTGCAAGACACTAACTTCTTATTGAAAAGAAATAAGGAGTTATTGGTTAGTTTAAAAATCAATAAACACGATACTGCGAGAAGAATACAAGTCGAGTCACACACAATTCATTTTTCAAAGTCTGTTAATCCCTTTACGTTACAATGAACACAACATATATAGATACAGTCGAGGACATTTATTTCCTACCCATTTCGATCCTGTCATTTAATGCTCGAAAATCAATTATACGCCAACAAAGTGGCCTAAGGGCATAAATGACACTAAATTACAATATTCAACGTTAAAAAGTTCCACAAGAACCTTGTCTGTGACTGTCTTATTAAGTTTCGATCCTATGTGGGAAGCAAATTTAGTTCTTTGACTTAGTTTATAAAATAAGTGAGTAGCATTTCTTAGTACTCTGATTTATCGGTACAGTTGAGAACATGTATGCATTTGAATTTTTTCATTGAAATATCACCTTGAAAGAGTTTAAGAAAATGGTGCTTCCCGTTAGGCCGATCGGCGTAACGATCTATCGGCAGAATGTGAATAAAATCCCATTGGTTCGGTTGGACGGTAGGCTGATCGGCCCAACGGCAAACATCCAAAGAAAAATATTTTCTTAGAGTTACTAAAATATTATTAATTTTAGTCAATGTTTTATGCAAGCTATTTAAAATACAGGCTTGGATTATTACTAATAAATGTTTCTAATAATAATGAACGTAAGCTGAGAAAATATATTCCTATTTATTATGCATATAAACTAAATAGAACGCTTCGAAATTGTCGAAGGAACTCTAAGGTGTTCCATAGAGTTTCACCTTTTTTTTATATAACAGAAGGGGGCAAACGAGCAGCGGGAACACCGAGGTGTTCAATGACGCCCATGGACATCAGCAATACCAGAGGAACCGCAGATGGAAGGAACCTTTGAAAAAGATAAAGAATACTTAGATTATAGTTTACCTCCACTTTATTGATGATTCTAGGTAATAAACCATTTCTTCTAAAAGTGATAAGCGTCACCGGCCTTTGTCTTCTTTCGAATGGCTCGAAAAAATCCTGCAATATTAATATTATTGCAGATATATGTGATTGTTAAAGTAATTTTAATAATTTTCTTTAATTTCTATGGCATTGGGCGCTTAAAAGAGAGATTCCTGTCTAGAGAATTATATAGCACACATGTCATTTAAGGTAAGAATAATCTAAACTAGGTGTAACGTCTTTTTTAAATATATCATAAGGTGGCAAACGAGCGAGCGGCCACCTGAAATCGCTAAAATAGCGAAGTGACCTTTGCCCATAGACATACGCAATTGCATATGCGTTGCCTACTTTTAATCGACGGAGGAGAAGCACAGAAAGAAAATATTTTCCCTTCCCATGCATCCTCTCATCCGGAAAGTCCACTTCCACTTCCCATCCTTTCCTTATAAGGACAAGGGTGTGAAGGGAAAGAGGACTAAATTAGGCCTCCGGGACGCACACTCATCAAACGAAACGCGGAATTGCTTCCACTTCACGCCTTGCTTCTGTGTGGTCGTGGTATTTCACCGGGCGAGCCGGGCCAATTCGTGCGAAGATGTTAAAGCGGGCTCTACCGCTGTCTTCATTATTAAAGACCACTGAATCGGCAACTATGTTATGTATTAGTAAGTATCAACTATAGTACTAGAGTGAGTAATAAATAAGTTTTTTAACTCGTCACTTTGTTGCAACATATTGTATTTTCCATTTGTAACTAATAGATTAATCATATAACATTACCTTATCAAAATAGGGCTCGAACCCAAACGTAAACGTTTTGGCGAGCCTTGTCAAAGAATGGGGTGTTTTTAACACAACTCTCCGCGGCAACATATCTTCTGGTTGTGACTGCTGTAAGAATTATTATTATAAGTTTATTCAGTGCTTAAATTGGCACTTCGTATAGAAAAGTATTCCTGTTTCCGACGTGAGAAATCAAATACCGGCTAACGTGATTTGGTTACTTTTTTTATTTCTATAGACAACATTCACATATTTATTTATAAGAAAAGCGTGTATGCGCTCACGCATGACACATTCAGTTTATCTGTAAAAATAGTTAATCTTGAAAGTACGGAATTAAAAAATAAATTCATGAGTAAAAATATTAATCACCTCAATTTACCCTAGTCATGTAGCCAAAGTAAATTACCTCGGATTACCAAGGTAAACAAAGGATTATACCACAACAAATTATTCATCTTGATGATATCACCTGGGTAAATAACGTGACATAAACCATTGCACTCTTACTAATAATGGTATTTGAAAGTCTGGATGTTATTACTCCGGACCGACTAAATAGATCAAGTAAAAATTTGAAACACGGCTAGATCACAACTTCTAATATTTTTTTTAATTTTCATAAACACGGAGCCACGTCAGTATGCCATAAATGAAGTAAGACGATGCTTGAAATTAGTAGTTGGATAAGAAATTATCATTCATAATGTAAAGAATAAAAATCTAGCTATACTCGTACTAATTAATGTTTTAAAATGGGAATAACTTATTTGAGTATAGTTTACTATAAGTTATACTTTACTTACAATTGGTGCCGGTCGGTAAGTCCACATTGAATTCAGATTTGGATTAATCTCCCAAGTATCCGAAGAAAGTAGAATTTCATCTTTTGTAGGCAATTTGAATTTTCTTTGCGGTTGAACTAGTTCTTGAGATCCACCCTGAGCTAAATTACCAAAGAAATTGGTTAAACAAAAAAATGAATTAAATGTAAATTTTATTGTAAATCAATTTAATATTAAAAATTGTCTTACATTTACTCATCACAAAGTCAGTCCCACAGAAGAAAACGGATAACGTCGCAAACAAACTTGAATGCATGCTTATGCACTAATTTTTAATAAACTAATGTATCAAAGATACTACCCTGATTGACTTCACGATTACAATAACGGAAAAAATTGATTTCACACTCGAGTAAAGAAAATTTTAATTCGAAGAATATGTCTGTTTACCTCCGCATGTAGCCACTGTCAGACGAGTAGGTTGATGGTTACTATTCAACACGATTCTCAGAACAAGACACAACTCCGCAATCATTCTCGCAAGCTCAGAGCCGGCGGACGATGCAGTTGTGGATACTCGTTTAAAAATAAAATCATATTCTAAGCCGAGGCGGGCTTTTATTATATTCAATCTTATTGTTTTCTATAGCAAAACATACATTCTCACATCACGCAACGAATGTAATTATTATTATATCAGATGAGAAATTTATACGTTTTAAAATTATACAAAACAATTATGAAAATATTAGTACCCCATCACATAAAGGTTTAGCGTGATTCTTAAAATAAAAATTATGAATGAAGCTATCGAAACAATATTTTAACAGGTGGTCACATCACGGCTACAAATATTTATAATAATGATATCATTGTTTAATCCTAATAAAGAGAAGAAAAGAAGATCTTATTATTTCTTATAATTTAATTATTACAAGTCAACAGAATTTATGAAAATTTGTTCACAATTAGTTGATACGAGTCATCAGAAGTACGCAATGACTTTTACAAGGTAAATTAAGTTAGTGGATTTATTCGACTTCGCGCATGTCTTCGGGTCCGAGTTCAAAGGAAGTTGTGGTGCATGGCGACTCGGCACAGGGTCTCCGCTGCTCTTCCAGTTCACCTGGAGCGCAGCGCCCAGCCACGCAGAGCCTGCGCCGCACTATCATTCCGCCACCACACGTCGCAGAACAGTCGCTCCACTTACCCCACCGGCTCCATACCTTACGAGCACGTAATCGTTCCTCATCACCGCTGATATCTTCTGTCATTATACATAAAAAATCACAAGCGAGTCAAAGCAATTAAACTACAATCCCCAGTCAGGTCTTTGGACCTTTGTGAACTTTTTTTGTCGCTATTAATCATCATTATATGCCAGTTTATGTTATTTTTTTGCATAAGTAAGTATAGTAATTCTATTATCTGTAGTAATTAACTTTACCAATCACACCAATGTAGAGAATACTCTAAGGAAATGTAAAACAGTTCCGTAGAAATTTTTATACCTAACACAAAAATGTTGTTAGGTCAGGGTGGAAACAAGGGTAAGGGGAAAGAGGTGGGATTACCCTCCGGTACAATACACCAGTTGTTTATTAATCAACCATTCCTTGTTATCCCATCTTACGGATGTAGAATTAGAAGCGAGTGTGGTTTTGAAGGATCGCAACAGATAGAGATCAGTATTATCTTTTTAGATATTGAGATGGTGGAGCTTTGTTTTTACCTGTTTGTACTTCAATTTTAGTGAGATCATCAACACCGGTCTTGGCGTTTTCTTTATAACGACGACGAATTGCAGGCCTATCGCTTCTCATCTGTTCCTGTATCACCAGATCAATTAATTCTACTGGCTGCATTATTATTTTATCTCCATTTTTTTGTAAAGCAAATGAATTTTTATAAAGGGTTACAAACAATAATAATAATAAATAATACATTGGGGAACCATGAAATGTTTATAAAAATATATTTTGATTATTTGATAGTGACAGATATAAAGAATAAATAAATGTTTTGTTCTTGAACTATAAATATTCTACACTATCTGTGGACTCTTTTTACTCTGTTTTTAATTGTAGAAGGTTATGGTTGCTTAAACCATGGGCGAAGGTTAAAAAAAGTATTAAAATAACTAAAGTATAAAATAATCCTTGACGGTTATTAAACTGTATCCACAAAATTAACTATCAGGTTAATTTTGTTCCAGGTTTTAAAAAGATAGGTTCGACTTAAGGGAATTAAAAACAAACAATTAAAATTCAAAAATGCACAAATTAAACTTTATTAATAATATAAAACTTATATAAAAACAAACATCGCAATATTTTAAATTTTTTTGTTGTTTTTTTAACTTCTCATTGAACAAATAATAATATTCCTTTGCTACATTACCTTTTACAAAGAGAAATCGGTCTAGAATTAAGCTATTTTTTTTTCAAATGTTTTTTATCTAACGAGATCTTTTTATGAATTATTTTACATAATTTACTAATTTATTAATTTCTTTTTGAATTGATAAGATTATAATTTTTTAAGAAATGTCAATTTGAATTTCATCTTATGATACAACCTCACTTACATACAATCTATGCATAAAATCTTGCCGGCAATTCAATACAGAATTCTAATACTAAAAAACAGAATTTGTTTTATAATTTCCATCATTCAAAATAAATGCAACTTTGGTAAGATGTTTTGGTCAAAATATGCAAACGTAATAAAGTATAGGAAGATCGAGTAAATCATAAAATACAATCAGTCGGCTAACAGTCTGACAAAATTATCTGGCTTAGTAGATAAAAGTGGAACATAAAAGTTCTCCATGTCTATATCAAAAATGTGCATAAGATTGTTGTCGTTTTGCTACTGTTTTGTCATGTCTTTCCTTTTTTAAGAGCCTATTCTTACATATTTGCTGAGAGAACTAAATGCAATCCTCTCCGGGCCAGATAAATTTATATAACTATAATCTACAATAACAATTGAGGTTTTTCTACGTTGTTTACATCTACATTTTGTTCCAAATCTGGACATAAACATGTTTCAGTTTCATCCGTTGCAATTCTTCTGTTTCGAAGTAATTCATTTCTCTGTAAATAAATTTTATGAAATCATAAATTTTTTACATTTATCTAATTAATTTGTCTTTCAAATCTTACTAATATTATAAATGCGAAAGTTTAAATGGATGGAATGTCAGTGGTTGGCACACTTGCAGAACATCGTTGGGACGAACTCATAGGCTACTTATTAATTTTTTATTATTCCTCCCGGTCCGAGTCTCGGGCGACAGCTAGTATTTATACCAATTGAAATTAAGAATTGTATATACTTTTATTTTGGAAGTCACAACAATTAAGTCTAAAGTGAAAGAAAATTTTAAATAAAGTGGAGAAAAATTGGATAGCTAATAGAAGTTGTTGCATTTAAATTACTTAATATAGTTTGTCAAAGAAAGATTTTTTAACTCACCTTTTCTTGTTTGATAACATCACAATAATTATCTTGTAGATATAGTATGAAGATGAAAATATGAATCATTATAAAGAAATATATTATCAAATTGTTGTTATACTGGAACAAAAATATATAATGTAAAAGATATAGATTATAAAATTTTAATTTTTCATTCTAGTACAGAGAAGATCCCAAAGTAAATAGTTTCAGAATTTCAATATTTTAGCGGTTTACCTGAACTTGGCAGTCAGATTCCCAGTCAACTGAAATTAGATTGTCAAATACTTGGATAAATCTCTGAATGGGACACATCTTCCCACAATTAGGTATATTGAGGATAAATGGTTCAACAATATCTGTTGTATTCCTGTATGATATTCTCACGTAATAGTCAGGCGTTGAGTCTTCTGTTAAGATACAAGAAATAAATTAGATAACCAAATTTATGAAACTTTTATTTTGTCCCGATTTTATGGTTAAAATTTACAAAGTTAAATATGCTTTGGATCAAAACACAATGCTCAGTATAAAAAAAAGTGTGTAATCACTATTTAGTTTTTATAAAGATATTACAATATGTAAAACATGTGTAACTCTTGATACATACCATTTAAAAGTTCAAAGATAATTGTAGAAGTATAAGATGGACAGTTTCCATCAAATAATCCAAGTGCAGATAAAATATTAGCAATTGTAAAATCATGGCCGCTGTATATTGACAATGTGAGAGCATCTGGTTGCTCTGACATTTTGTTCAACATGTTATTCACAATTGCTTTCAAAAGAGGCCCAGCTAACAAACGAGCCATCACTGGTGTCGCAGTCGCTATTGAAAAACTGAAATCATTTATAATTCTTACTATCAACAAAGAAAACCACTACAAACAATTCAAATTATTCTATACTAGCTGTCACCCGCGACTCAATCCATGCAGAATTAAAAAAACTTAATTAGTTAGCTTATATATTCTCCCAGACTATGTTCTATAAGTATGGCAAATTTCATTGAGATCCGTTCAGCCATTCCTCCTTCAAACAAACATCCATCGATCCATTTGTCCATCTAATCATTCCCATTTATAATTTTAGTAAGAAGTAAGATAGAATACCAATCTATGTAAGTGTAATATGAATAATTTAATGTATTGATTATTCAAGCAAGATTGTATCCCTACTCACATTGGCTCGGTACATAAAGTTTTAAAAACTGTTTCAATTTCATTTTTATGACCGGCCACTTGATTATTAAAGCATATTATAATTTTTTTTTAAGTTAACATCATTGCATAAGTATTAAAATATTGTCATTTATAATTTAATAAAACAACTATTATCTCTAGCATTTGGAGTTCATTGTATACCACCTTATCAAAATATGTATTTAGCCTTATTCCTTCATATCATTAAATTATACACACAATCATGCACAATTATTACTTTTCACTGACAAAACAAATGTTTATATATATATTGACTAATGTGTTTTTATATAGATGTGTCTGCAGTGACAACAGAGTGTTGTATTTCAAAATATAAAACTCACCTATAACATGCCGGTTCTTTTAGTTTATCAGGAAATACAGAGTGTGTCCATTTAGGCAATGTTAAGTTATACAAATTTTCAATAAACAAAATGTTGTAAATATCATTAATGTCTTCAAAATCTTTTATTTTTCTCAATGTATGTTGTGTCAGGTAACTGAAACCAACAAAAAGAAACATGTTGTAGTTAATATTCAAACTCAATAACCCAACTAATTTACAACAGAACAAACAAACAGAGAATTTAGTAGTAGACAGTATGTGCACACAATGTCAAAACAATGTCGATTTGCCTCTGTATATTTCTGTAAATTGTTTAAACCGTAAAAGTTTTAATACTTACTCCATTAGACCTTCATATTTACTGAGATGATCTTCATATGCTCGGGAATTGATAAAATTGTTCTTTGCAATATCATACTGTGCACATTTTCTTTTCATTGCTAACACTTCATCATCATGCTCAGGCCTTGTGTGTATTGGTATTGGCTGCCAGTTTAAGTGATCATTCCATACTTCTTTACCCATAGGAGGATACATGCCTATAACAAAAACACATTCGTTTAATAGGGTATAGTAAATTAAAATAAATAAAACTTCATAGTGGCTTGTGCTGCCTGGTAGCCCTGCAGATAAAGAAAAGCACAAACGGGTGTATCCCACAAGCTCACCCCATAACGTCTAGCCTAAATCTTTAATGTGCAGTGTCTCGTGCGAAAATGAGAGTCACCCTAAAATTGGGCCACCATACCTGCTAAATTTACTTCAGCCGACATGAGGGTACGATCGACATTAGTTGATCGAACATATACCTTCTTAGAGTCGTATTTATTAGTGATTATATTCTGAAAACCAAAAGCAGATGTTAAAAATTTAGCACATGGTTATATCAGCATAGCACTTTGGTATATTTGAACTTACAGAATATCTTTTCCTAAACCATTGTCCTAATGCATAGTGTTGTCTTTTACCTATATTCGTTAGTTGACCGAATCTTACTGGCCATAAAGATTCGTTTCGCCAGGGATCTGTTGGATATGGATCAATAGGGGTTCTATCGCCATGTCTATAAATGATAGCTGCATATTTTATCGAAACTTCCCCAAAAGACTGACACAACAAACATAGAAGAACCCCAAGGGGCAAATACATCTCAAAGTAACTATTTTAGAAACTTATAACAACATTCAAATAACTTATAAATATTTTTATGCAATTAGCAACCAGAAACGTCGAAAGAATTGAAGAGGATAACAAATACATTTAAGGGGTTTTTAATGGTGGACATTGCCATCTCGCTCCATAATCGCGCGTTCCCTTTCTAACACAACTGTCATTTCACCACAGAGAACGTAAAAATCAATCATTCAAGAAAATCCAGGGTAAAATTCACATTGTGTCAAGTGGCAACTATAATTTGACAACTTGAAGTTTTGACCATTTGACCAAAGGGTATATAAAATGATTTGACAGTGATCAACCGCGGGAGCGCCTCAATCGCTTTTAAAATAAAAACCCGAAGAATCTATTTTTTGTAACTGTTACTGCGGATTTCGACTGGAGAGACAACTGTATTGTAGAATTTCGGAACCCACAGCCCGCAGTCACGGCAATTTATAAAATTTTAAAATACAAATACCTTCTTTCAAGAAACAAGGTCACTATGAACAGAATACCAGAAATGAAACACGTTGAAGGGTTAAAAATAATTTATTCAACAGCTTGATTTCGATGGTTACCTCTTGTATCTTTCTTAATATAAAATAATTTTACTACGCCAAAGCTAAAGCCGCAGAGCTATTACCGTACAAAATAACATTCTCCTTTGAACTTTTCACTTTTACAATGCATTTACATGCAAAGTGGGCTGAATAAATTATATTTTAAAAAGGTAAAACTAATTATATAAATATGTTTGTGTGAACTTTTTCTGTATAATTCACTAAAAATAGGCACAAACCTGGTTAAAAATAATAAAACAGATTATTATAGAATCCAAATAGAATTGTTAAATATTAAAATCTAGCTACCGGTCGCCGCTACTGGTGACATACATTATAAGAAAACTCATCGATTTAGAAAGCCTGAAGGTACCTGCTAAAAATTGTATAGCTAATTTTTAATTGACAGATATAAGCTTTTTGGATGATTATCTTTATAATTTAGAATTTTCAAACAATTTTTCACTTATCACAATATATTGCTTTTTTACTCAAAGTACTTTTTAGATCAAAAACTATTATATTTGATAATTTATTCAATATTAGGCCCAAAATCGATTGCTTACAAAATTGCTTTTAACAGGCGTGCCACCAGTAACACGATTACATCAGCGCGTATACAGCGAATTCGCATTAAAATAACTAGCTATGTTTACAATCTATATATCTTTGGTGCATCAACCTCGGTACAACAATAAACACTAATGCCTTAGAATTTTAAACACTGCTTTAGGAAAATGCACAACAGCAAAATAATTATTTTAATTCACAATATAACTCCAATCTAATCTTACAATTCTTTAAACTTCTACTCGCTCGGTAAATTCAGACTTTTGAATAATGTGTTCGTTTGGACTATTATAAACTAGCTTTCCTGTTGACACTAACCACCTCTTGGCCATTTTATTATAGGAATTATTGTATTGGATAAAGATTTTTTTTGCACAAGAAAGTACTTTTACAGATTTTCAATTTAAATTTAAGATATTGCCACACGAGTCTTATATAAGATATACCACTGAAATAGAATTAATTATCAACATTTACTAATATATAAGTCAAAAGAACAAAGCATTATGATTGTAAAATTTTCAATATTATATTAAAAACTAACTTTGATCACTTCAAAAAAATGACTAAAGACTTTACGTATATAATTATAAAAACACATTTATATGTAAATTATGTTCTTCAAAATCAAAATAAAATATAGGAAAATTATAATTAACATAGTGGAATATTTTTTTTCTAAGAACAAGCAATTTAGCTATAGCTATAAGCTTGTTAATTTGTATGTTGATTAATTTGATAATGAATTCAAACTTATGTTGTATTACTAATTTGCTGGCGATAATTCGAACTATACACGCATCTATGATTCTATAGAAATATTATTTTGATAGTTTTAATTTTATTGTTTTTTTTTATTATTTACTTGACTGATTATATATTTATAATCTACATATCAAACATATGATTTATGGTATACTATATTCAGTTCTCATGATAAAACACAACAGGCAAAAAAAAATGGAAGTCATAAAAATATGTCCAAGGAAGCAGGAAAACTTGAGAATTTTTTTTACATCTATATAAAAACATGACGTTTAGAGTTTGTGCAAAAAAAGTTACGTGACATTAAAAGGAATCGACATAAATATTTATCTCATAAACCAATTCAGCCAACACATTTCATTCCGGTCAACTACTTACCGTTGGTCTACTTTAAAGACCAAAATCTTTGTATAAAATATATCGTCATCCCTGTCATTATCTTTGAGAAACAGAGATAATTTTAAATGAGGATTTTGGTCTCAGAAAGCTACGGTTAATCCTTCATGTGTCATTTATCTTTTCTTTGCCATTATTTCAATAGTTATGTCGAAAAGTGGAAGAACGAGTGAGAAATGGAAAATTAGCACACGCACGCCTTTCATTTCTTTTTTTGCACAAACTCTAAATACGATAATTGTGGACTGGAAAGTGGAAGTCAATTATGACGATATTCTTACATTATTTAAAGAGGCACAATAAACTTATTTAAATACTTATAGTCAACGTTGGAGTTTCGGTCATGTTGAACACATTGTGCGCCCCATCAGGGTGGGTTAGGGACGATATAAATATTTAATTCAGGGGGCACGACAATGCCCCCGGCGCGATAAAAATTTACAATAAACCAACCCACATTATTTACTAGTTGCTCTAATTTAGTACTCAATTTTATTGTTACTCTGTCATCTTATTTAGTATATAGTGAGTTGGTTAATTGCAGCTTAAATTTAATATATAATGCAAATCATGTCTTATTGTCAGACAAAACAATTTTGTACTAACATTCCTATATATAGTATTAAAATGACACAGAAAATTTAGATCTACTTAACAATATTACCATTAACACTACTATTGTTTTTTCCCTTATATAAATTGGGAATAAAATAACAGTAGTTGTCTACGATTTGGTAACAAACAAGTTACAGAACTTTGACTAGATTTTTTTTTACATATACGATATATACTGAATTTGGGATTAATACGTTTTAATAGACAACGAAATATCTAGATGAATATATGAAAACGACATTAAGATAATGATAAAGTTGTTTACTGGACCCAAGAGGCTGGGACCCACAGAGGTTCCGATTGTACCTTCCAAGATGCCTTCAGAAGCTGCGTCAGGGCGCTGGCTAGATCCTCGTTTACGATTTCTTCGTCAAACATGTAACCATATAGAAAATTTATACGGTTTGATGAACGTATGATGTCATTGAATTCTTCCTCCTACAAAAAATAATACCACTTTCTTAAGTATAACAAATACAATACAGCTTTCATTTATTAGTTTAACACAGGGGCTGTTCCTCAATGGTTAAGACTTGACTGTTATTTGCAGGTCCTGGTTTTAAATCCCACCATGTATCAATGTGTTTTTCTGTTTACGATTAATATATATATTATACATTTATCTTCTTACTGTGAAGGAAAACATCGTGATGCAATCTGTACATATCTGTGAAGAAATTTCATAGATATGTGTGAAGTCCTGCACACAGCCTGGTTGACTAAGGCCTAATCACCTTTACTTAGGTTACGGGCCTCTCAGTGGGGATGTATAGTGAGCTGATAATGATGAAATCATATAAATATTATATTTTAGTACTGAAATCAACAATATTCTTGAGAACTTACTGTAAACGATCGTGAGCTATCTTTATCGAAGGTTGAACGAGCATTTGCCGATGTTCGTGTTTCAACGAGCCGGTCTCGAGACGGTGGTCGTATGAACACGATGTATGGTCGCAGCCGAGGTGTTCGTAGCATCTTCAGTGCTTGCCAATGTGGACTTATGACGCATACCCGACCTGATATTATACTTTTATTATACAAACATAAATTGCAAATAGCTAACAGCGACAACACGCACAGCAACAATACACAAATTTTAATATTAAATTACAAACAAGTAGCATGAGGTAGTTTTATCAGCCTTATTATAAATGTTCTTAGGTTTTTTTTGGAGATTTGTTAGTTGCCAACAAATATTGATGATTATGAAACCTTTTTATTGACTTTTTATTTTAATCTGGTCATTCTACGCTACAAAGATTACGGCATCATAATTTCTTATTATAATAAACATAATACAGTTAGACATTTTCAAAGCTATTCTTCTTTTTGTGATACAATATTCCTGAAATATAAAATGTATTAAAGCAAAATGTGATAACACAGCAGAGCATGAGATGATTTTTGTTCGTTGCACAATTCATGTAATGTTTTGTATATCCACAAACGAGTGCAGCAACCTAGAGATTAAAAACGTTCAATTAGAATATAATGTAGTCGCATTGCTAAATATGTCAGACACCACAAACAGAGCGATTTACATGAATCTCACAATTTTTAATTTAAATATCACGAAAGGGTGATAAAGTTTGATGAAAAGTCCATTGAACTTGTTTATTGTTCCCATCTTACTAATACATATTATAAATACGAATGTGTGCATGGATGGATGGATAGATAGATGGACGTTTGTTAGAAGGTAACTCTAGAACAGCTGCATGGATCTCGCTGAAATTTAGCATAGATGTTGAACAGTCTAAAAGAACACATAGGCAACTAATTAAATCTTTTTCTTAATTCTGCACGGATGGAATCGCAGGCGATAGCTAGTTAGTATATACAATTAAAACAACATTGTGTTATGCAAGGTAAATATAACAGAAGCATATATACCTGAATTTACAATGCTTTCCACACTCTCCGCTGAAGTACCATAAAGGTTCCCTTTATATTCTCCATGTTCAATGAATTTACCCTCCGATATGTCCTGTTCCATTTTTTCACGACTCACAAAAACATACTCCTTTCCATTTTGTTCGCTAGCTTTTTGAGGTCGCGATGTAACTAAATTTCAATTTTCATAATTATAAATTCTTTTATATTTATTAAATAATAAGGAAGAAAAAGATTATTAGATTAAAACAAAATTGTAATTACATTAAATTATAAAACTAAAAATTAAAAAATACGTTTATGTTAAAAAAACCAAATATTAAAATAAAATTCAAGATTAAAAATACTAACATGGTATAGGTGTGACATATTTTTCAGGATCAGTTGCTATGAGTCTTCTACGAAGCTCATTCCTGCCGACCCCTGGAGCACCAACAAGCACTATAGGTCTTACCAATCCCGGTCTTGGATACAAACGGGCTACCTCTTCATATGTTGGTATTATTTCTCGATCAAAATCGTCATTTTCCTTAATATCATAGATTATTTTCTTAACTTTTGGAGTAGATTTACAAGGCAATAAGGCAGTAGCTGTAGGATTAGGTGAGCATGGCGTTTTAGGACCACAATCTGAACTAGCCGTGGTCGGGCTGCACAATGCTGGGTTACCTGCACATAAAAATTAAAACATTTCTATCTAATCCATTATATAATATTAGAAAACTCAAAACTAGCTTACTGACCATCCATAGTCTGAGGATCTGTTTGTCTCTCATGAATAATACGTCCTTCTTGCAATGCTCGTGAGGGTATCAAACCAGCCCTCATCACTCTATCACCTTCTCGGCGAGCTTGCCACCTTAACACCATGAAAATGTATAAAAATGTTAACTAACCCATTACAGAGACACAATTAAACTCACCAGTAAGCATCATCCTGCGATACAATATGTAAAATATCACCCTTTTTGAAATCTAGCCCAGCTTCTTTGCATGGTATGTATGGATCATCTGATGAATTATAATTAAACAGAGCTCTGACACGTACTTTGCTCTCTCTAGAACCTCCTTTACCAAATGAAGGTACCAATTTAAAAGTTATTGTTCCTTCTGAACTTTGCTGCAAAACAAAATGATTGTGGTAGTTTTATCTATATAATTTTAACTATATACAGAATTTACATACCAAAATTGCCAGAACATCAGATGGTGTTTTATTTTCAACACTGATACCATTGACCTCTATAACTTCGTCACCCGCATGAATCAAACCCGACCGATCCGCTGCTCCACCATGCATGACTCGGGCAATAACAATCTTTCCAGTTTCTTCATCAGTTTTTATTGTTGCTCCCTATGAATTAATAAAATATTTATGATTTTTTTATTCATTCTACTGACTAATATGATATTATAACATTTTCCAAATTAACATAATAGAAAAATGCTTAAAAATCTTATGATAAAGGAACAATTTACAACATGGCATATTGAAATGTAAAATGATTTTAACTATGTTCTAATATTTATTTAATAAAATTCCTTATTCAAATAGCATTATTTGAACTATAGTGAACTATAGTTTAGCTAGCTATTTGAACTATATGTTTTACATTTTCACTAACTATAATGATGCAACTGCAATTTAACAAAAAATAATGTTTGCTATTTTTTTTTAATAATTATAAGCAATGTGTATTGTGTGAGGATTTGTGATAACTGGCTGCAAAAAACTAAAAGGGATACTCATAATTAAAAACCACAAAAAAACACAATACATATTGCAGTACCATCTAGAGATAGCAGCTAATAAATTTAAATCATTTTGGCTGGGTTTTAATGAACGATGGGAGCATATTTAACAATGATGTGATATAAAAAAATGTAAATAATTAAAAATAAATGGATTTAAATTATATAGAATACAAGCATTTATGTAATAGCCAGTTGTAAATATGCATATGTAAAACTTACCACAATTGGCTCTGCGCTCTGAGCTCCACCCTTTTAATTAAAAAATGTTTAAGTAACCCCTATTTTTTATCAATATTAAATTAAATAATTACATGAAATTTTCAACTATCATGTCTAGCTATTTTACAAAAGATTCATTAATGATACCAACATAGAAAATATCAATTAATACTTATCAATATTTTTAGATACTCTTATATATTAATCATTATAATACAATTTATTATATATTTTTTCAGATAAAAATGTTAAAGTAGCTGCTATTTCTAAATGAAACATTATTCCAATTACTTAAGGCTGATGCTTATGTGACATAAGATAAATCAAAGATTTATACGAACCAGGGGTTCATCACTTTTAACGAGTTGAACAATTTTGACAGTCTCCTCTTCATCATCTGCATCAGATGGCACATCGGGAAGATGTGGGTAATAATCTTTTTGTGCAACAGCATCATGAGTGCAGAGTATAGCCTGATTAAAACATAAATAATCAGTAATGTATTTTATAGTCATTTAATTACTTAAAGGACTAGTTCGAGATTACATCTAGTGTTGTCATCAGCTGACATGATTGACTGCAAACCTAGTTAGTAACCACTCACCCTGAAGATGTACACTTATGGTTCTGAAAATACTTGGTGTTGACACCAGTGAACTATATATCAGTTTTGCCCTTTGCAAATTATATTGGTTTATATAAACTGTACAATTTAATGTTTTACAAACCTGAAAATGTGGTTTTTGCAAGAGGCTTAATAATTCCTCATACTCTTTAGATACAGAAATAACATCAGCTAGCATTTGAAATACTTCAAGTGTAACCTGCATAGCATTTGAGAGCAGCGGATAGAATTTATCATCTTTACCATTTGCAACAATTTTATTATGAGCCTGTACTAAAGCATGGAGCTGCTTTGACTGCAATAGTTCACTTAAGAAGGCAACATCCTCTCCATCAGATTGCACCTCTTTCAATGATGTCAACAATTTAATAAGAGCTAAAAAAAACATAAGTTTTATTCATAAAAGAAAAAAATAATTAACTCCTTTAAATGTTAGCATAGCATACCTGGATCCCAATTTTCTGCGGAACTATCCATTTTCATACCTTCTTCAGTGCTCTTCAGATATTAGAGACATGACCAATTACAGAATCATAGTTGAGTTAAATGAAAGTATTTAGGTGTGGCGCCTATAAACTTTACTATGTTGTAAAAGGAACATGTCTCCAATTTTTTGCTGGTTTTGTCTAGATACATTTGAAAAATAATATTAGTAGTTACAAATTAAATTTTCATATAAATTTCATTGGACTAAGTTGCACTATTACTAAGGATGATATAGTGTTAATTACATAGCTTACTCATTCTCTTGCCCTCGTCGAGAGTCTAATTGTATTCAAGTAATATTGAGTTTCGTTTCTGAAAACTTTCGTAAACACTGATTAAAGATAGATGTAAAAACAATTATGTTACACAGGATTTTTGGATTTAATAAATAAATTCGAAAATATAGTTTTGCTACAAACATTGAATTTATAAATTAAAAACGATATAACGTAATACATAATGACCATTTTATCAATGCTTACCTTTCAACATATCACGTATAATGAATAAAGAATGTAGCTAGCTAAGTAGGAAACCAAACATAAGATAAAGAATCAGGATAGAGTTCAATTTATAAAACTCGGAAGATTAACTTCAATTCATTGCGTTACTAATAGGACAAGTGAAAACGAAAATCACCGGGAAAAATCAATACCACATTCTAAAATCCGTTTCATTTTACGTGACTTCGTGACAATAACTCATTAAGTTAAATTGATAATTCTGTTACTTGTTTTAAAATATGTGTCTCAACTGTTCTGTTTAAAAAAAAACATCTTTTGTTATTTTGATAAATATAATTTTATAAAGATTTAATAAAATTATAGAAAACATCAACCAAATTATCTACAGCTTGACTAAGAAAATATTGCACCATACTGCGGCTAACGTTTACAATTTATTTCATGATTCGTTTCCATAAAATTAACATTGTTTTGGTTGTCTTCGAATTGCCAAAGTGTTTTTTATAAATGCTGTAGTAACTTTCAATTTCATAATAACTGATTGTAACATCGGACTTAATTTTTGAGATAACATTGTAACTTAGGTGTGTTGACGTAGATGTGAAAGGAGATTTTCTATATTTCTAATGAGACTATACTGTAGATACGGGTGTCCGGAAAAGACGTGTACAAGGGCAGAATATCACAGATTCCTTGATTTTTTGTCTGCATTCCAATATAACTAAGTATTTTTTTAATGGCAGCACTGTCGAGAATTAATGCCACAAGTGGCACAACGGTCAACACCGGCAAAATTCTCATAATGGCGGAGGTTGTGGTCGTGTGTATTAAATGAGCGATAAAATTCGCCAACAAATATACGAAAAACAGAAAAAACTTAAGAACTTTGCCTTTAATTTAAGAGTTTTATTTGTAAAATAATGATTTGTGCTGATCGTGACTTAGTACTGTAACAACTTTATGGGAGTTTGTATACATTGATTTGTTACTGGACTTATTAAATTAGTGCGGTGGAGTCGTGCAGTCCGGCAGAGAGTGGGGCGGCGTGGAGCTGGTGCCGTGGTTCCTTAGGGTGGCGGAATAGCAATGGGAGCGCAGCAGGCGAAGGAGCGTGGCACGGCCATAGGCGCGTCCATGCGCTCGGGCCGCAGCAGACCGCGGCCACCCAGAGACCCCCGCATCCTGGGCTCTAATATATTTACAGAACACAGCGGTGAGTCATCTTTATTATAACAATCTGTTTTTCACTTGTTTTTCCTTCTTTTGTGTTAAGTTTTCTAAAACTTTCTTCATTTTTTCTCATATTCTTAAATCTTCTTTTAACAAAAACGAAACTCTTAATGAGGCGCAAATAAGATTGATCTGTGTGTGAAAAAGTGCATGTTTTGAATGATATATAAATGTAATAGACATTGCAAATAAGCATAAGGCCTTTTTTAAAATAAAAATGCTTGTTTGATTTTATTTTGATAAAAAATGGGTTAGGGAAAATTGGGTTAAAGGGTATTATGCATAAGAGGATGTTGTGCCAGAGGTCTGATTTTAGTGCTCTTTCAGGTAGAGGCAGAGGCAATTTGCCAGAGGTTGGGATGCATAAGGAAGGAAAATACAGATTTTATGTACATTCCCTCCTCCATCATAAAAGGCAATGCATCTGCAATTGTGGATGTGCAATGACAATGGTCACTTGCTATTTCAGTAAATTCAGGTGGCTGCTTACTCATATGCCACCTTATAATATAAAAAAAAAAAGATTATAAAGACTAGGCAAGTTGACACATAATCGATATTGATTTATATCGTGACCAACAATACTACCTGGCCCGTGGTAATTGCTATGAGACTGAAATGACAAATGATACATTTCTTGATTTTTAGCAATTCAATTGTTGAGAAAGGAAATCAATAAAATTTCTGATTAATTCACCAATTGACCTTTGTTGGTAGTAATATCATATTCAATATATTATGTAGATAAATATTAAGGAAAGAATAAAACACACAATTAAAAACATCCTCCCTATTATTAAGCAGTTTTTGTACAATGTTTTTGTACTAATTAACTGTTGTTCACCATTTACTTTAGAATATGGCAATCCTGCTATATTAATGATTAATAGTAGATAAAACAGGAAATTTGTTGTACGATTTGTGACCATTGCTTAACTGGTTATGTTAAAAACTACAGAAAAATATTTAAATGTAATTTTAATATTGTATCTTACAATTTATCAACATTCAATGCAATTATTGATTATAATAATAGAAATTTACAATATTAATAACTTATTTAAAACTAAAGCTGAAGAAGTGAAACTAGTGAGCATTCAGGCTGTTATCAAACCATTGAGATGCCTAGAAGCTAATAAGAAGCAGAACTGCCTTTTAGTAGAAGATAAAAGAAGATAACAAACAAAAGAAAATAATTTTTATTATCCTATCCTGAAATTCTCCATCCAATCCCACCTTTACCTGTTTAAAATTAATGGAAGACAAGAATTAGGTCTCTGAAAACACATTCATGAACTTTATAATTGCATAATGGCAATACCAATACTACAAAACGATGTATCCTTCTCGCTAGTATCAAGCTTTGTCAAATATTAATATATATGTTTTTTTTTAATAAATATTATATATATACCTACATACCCAACATAGATCAAATGTAAGACAAGAAGCAATAAACAAGTTTCTCAGAATATTTAGAACATAATTTTTGGTGCATTTTGATAAACTGGAATAAATTTATTTTCTCATTTCATCAAAAGTCTTACAAAATTAGATACTATGATGTGGAACAAAACATTATTGTTCCAATAATAACTAAACATAAAGTACAAATTTATTTAGTTTTTCCGAATTAACGGTATCTGGGAAAAAAAATTCTCAGTAAAGCAGATTGTTTAACTTTGAGAAAGAAAATTAAAACATCGCGACAAGCTTATGATACTATCTTACATCTCTAAACTTCTTGAAAAAATTGTGTTCTTACATCAAGAAAAAACATCACTATCTCCACTTTTCTGACTTTGAGCCAACTCTGTAGCATAATTTCTTAATGATTCAGAAAAGTTGCTGCCTCACTAATGCTGAGCGTAATTTAAGGCGATTAAACTGTACGACGGAGAAAGGTTGCGCATTTTAATTAATAAAAATTGTTTCTTTCTCAGAATAGTTTGCAACTCTGGTTTGATTTTTAATAGTATTTGATATTCAAATACCACGTTTTTACTCTACTGATACAGAAGGATTATATTTTTCGCGCGTACGACGTAAAATTTTATCTGTGGGTTTTTGACGAGTGAGGTGACATTCGATTCGTATTTTTGTCCTAAATGTGATGAGTGTGTAGTCTATCGAGTTTTTCTCGTTTTTTAATTAATAAATAGTGTTATTACGTTGAATCATTGTAAGTGAAAAGCGAAAATAAATTTTTATTTCGGTTGTGTTATGTATAATACAAATATTTTTAATTGCTTAAAACGTTATTCTAAAAATTCCAGTTATCGTTAACATTTTTGCCTCTGTCAAATAATCCTTTGCGGTTTTGTAATATTTTTTTAAATAATTTTTTATCAATATGTTGAGTTAACAAATTTGACAAATAATTTGCTCGTTTACCAAAAGTTTAACGTTTTAACAATTTTGATGTGCTAAGGCGAAGTTTTTTAATGAAGCGATATTTACTGAAGCGTACATTTATTTCGAGGGAGCGGCTTTTTTAATGTTAATGTGATAATAACTGTCTGGGAATACAAACGCCAAAGAAGTTGTAGTTGTATCTATTCGGCCTATAAAGTTTTTTTTATTATCCCAAAGGACGCTATGTTTAATCTCTTCGTACATAAATCATTCCAAATATTTAAATACATTAAAAACATCATTAATGCTCAAAATTTAAGCGACAATATCGCTTAGAGCTCCTATATTTCATCGGAATTTTACGTATCAATTCGTAGCAGTCTACCAACTGATGTGGATAAATACATGACATGATATATCGTAAAGTCTATGCATAACATACGAATATTTTGTTACTGGACAATGAAGCTATGCTTGTGACTTTCCCATCATTGTGCTTTGTAATTGGATTAGAAATAATGTTTTTGTAAGGTACTAACATTAATAGTATAAATTATAAAAGAAAATAACAACATTAAAAAAAAACTTGGACATTATTTCTTTGTATGAGAATATTGTGTTTGATTTATATTGGCAATTGTCACTAATATGTTGCTTTGCGCTCTTATTGTAAGATTATGCATCGACTGATGACAATTTTTATCGTTGATATAGGATTTACTAACGGCTCAGATTACAGAGACAATACTTGGAATGGTTCCTTCTCGATCAGATTTGGTCTATTATTACATGTACAGGTGTAAAGAGCTTTAAGGTCGTGTTGCGTTTTTTCTAAGTTTTAAGATTTTTGCGAATGTTTTTAGGTGACGGTAGTCGTTAACTTTTAACTTAGTTTGTTTCATTATCAAAAAAATAATTGCAAACATATGATGTAGTAAGCCCACCAAAAATTACCAAATCGCTCTTTAAAACGGCCACAAAATGTATGTCGTAGGATATTATAGGTTCTGTTAGCAGAATTGCACTTCAAAGTTGTTCATGAACTTTTGATTTAATAATGATCCTAATGTTGATTCTACCATCATGAATTCAATAAGCAAAATTATATTATATTTTCCTTAGGCAGCGACCGGAAGCGCATGGCCAGTCGCATCTCGAATTAACACACAATCACATTCCATGTAGAGTAACACGGCTTTGTACCCCATCCGTAAGCAGCACTAAACGGTTCAATACAAAACTAGTTTCACTTTGACCCGTATTTGATTTTATTTGAGAATTTTTATTTTTGAGAAAAATGGGGTAAAACTTCGTTCTCAAAAATTTGATTCAGGAAATTAGCCTAGCGAAAGTTTAACAGCGAAAGTTTTAGAACCGGCTTCGCGTTATAATGTCTAATGATGGAATATGTAATACATATTATGTGTGACGTGGAATTATGTAATTTATTACAAACTCCGCCAAGCATTGGCTACATCTGTGACACTTTTTAAATCATTAGCGCTATACTGTGTTATTTCCTTTCGTTATATTATTTCTTATGCTTAAGAAAAAGGAAACGATATTACAAAATGTGCCTCTAAATTTAACCACAAAATGTGTACTTATTGAGAAGTAGCAAACGGATGCCTTCATTCTCCAACCAGAAAAAGTTAAATAAAAATGTACCTTTTTAATCGCAAACAAATTAATTAAGATTTAAACAATCATTTTATATGGTGCCAGGATACTACTAACAAGTTTTTATTACTTTGATTAATTAGAATGCACTTGACTATGTTGCCGAATCTTCAGAGGTGAATTATGGAGCGTCGTTTACTTATGTATTAGATGTTATTGATATATGAATGTAGTACGATTGCTGAGGGGCTCGAGAAGTTGGGGGGATAAAGAGGTGCCAACTCAATTGTCGTTCTGTAAGTTATAAACATCGGTGCACGTGTGTAATATAAACAGTCGGAGAACATTGTATGCAAAGACAGAAGGCGACAGACTTGGAAGTAATTGTTTAAGTGGAGCGCAATAATGTTGTGACGGCAGAAAAAGTTTTGTCGCCGTGTTACTGAAAAGAACTCTGTCTGTATTTCTTTATTGAATTTACGATCAGGGGGACGGAATAAAATATTTAATAGTTTACCAGGAGATATAAAATTCCACGTGTAAAAAAGATATTCAGTTAGGTAACTGGCAAATTGTTTTCCATTTTAAATTCGGCACATCGAGATATTTCCAATCAATGTCCTATCAAAATGCAATTACTACGAAAACCTCATACTCCATTCAAGCCCATATAATAGGTAAAAACTGCAGACTAAAACAACGATGCGGGATGCGACCGCAGCCAGTTTACAAATAAAAGTGGTAATTGGATATTGAATTCGGTACAAGTGAAGTTTTGAATACCGCCACGAGACAATAGTTGGGCTTGTTGCGGTCTGCGGCCCCTGTGCCTGGCGTACGCTATTAATGCACGCAATGTGGAGAGCAAGACTTCATGCGACAAGAGCACTCGCTCCCTGCCTACGGAAAGTATGTGAGAAGCGCAAAATCAAATAAAAACGTTCGAGGAAAATACCTCTTCCAAGAAGCATTTCAATATATGAAATTGCATCTTGGAATTTTTAAAAT